ATTGAACCCGACTAATTAACTGGAATTGCAGGCCCGAGCCCGAAATTTAGGAGTTCCTTGAATTCCACACATAGTTTAGTATATATTTTTTATAAATATAAATTTATTCAAAAAAAAGAGTCAGCGATAGAGAAGCCCAACCCGATCTAGACGTAATGATTGACATTTCAGGACCGAATTTCGGGTTAGGCTCCAGATCTTAGCTCTACTCCTCGCCGTCGTAGAGTGGTTCACGTAGGCCAGGGGTCGGCAACCTTTTGTCGCTCGCGGGCCAAAATTAAGGGTTGCAAGTCATTGGCGGGCAGCACATATTTTTAGAAAGTTAAAAACCGAACGGATGGTATTTTTATAATAAAAGAAAATTGAATACATCTCTCGAATATAATATAGATTTATTTCCTCATTGCATCTCAAAAAATTCTATTAGAATATTTTCCACCATTTGCACTTAGTATCAACTTTTCTGCGTTTTGTTGCCATTTGACTAATTATACTTCAATTATAGGCCCATTTAACGAGTAATTGTGAATTATATACTTGTTAGCCTATAATATAATATAGTCTAAAGAATGTAATCGTCAAAACGGATGTTTTGCTACTATAATTCAGTGAAGCGCCGCGGGACGGATTATATTACTCCGCGTGCCATAGGTTGCCGACCCCTGACGTAGGCCGTACTTCTGCATATAAAAAAAACTGTTGTCGTGTTTCTCTCCCCCTACCCATGGGATAAGCATCAAATCATAATTTCACTAAATAAAGTAGTCCCAGAACTCTACAATTCACCATCATCAGATATCTTCATACTATCGATTTCATATTGATATAAAAATAAATTGTAAGCTAAAATAAAAGAGCACAGGATTATACCATAAATGTTTATCATTAGCTGATGGGTTAGGCTTTATTCGGAGCTAAGATATGGAACACTCGAAAAAGAGTACTCAGGGTATGGTATCATTCCTAATACATATTAAATATGAACAGATACCCAATGACATGGAAATACCTAATTTTTTTCATCCACTCCCAGGTGGTAAACTAGATATTATTATTTTAGGTCTGATTGGGGCTTCATTTGGAGAGAAATCTTGAAAAAATCTTTGAGAGTCTCAAAACCTATATGTTTTTAAAGTGTGAACACATACCCAATGATGACATGGAAATACCCAATTTTTCTCATCAACTCTCAGACGATTAAACCAGATAGCATTAGTTTTAGGTTCAATATCAAACTATTTCATCTTCTTTTGTGTCGACTATGAGTCGAAATAAACTCTTATACCCAAGTCCATGTATCACTTAGGCGTGCAAAGATTTACAGTCGATTCCCAACAATATTTGGTCACATACACACAATGACACAAAAATGCATCTATGGGCATATGAAATAGGTATACGCACATTGAAAAGTACAGTTTCACAGTCGATCCCCAACAATATTTGGTCATATACAGACACAATAAATCATAAAACGGATCTATGGGTATGTGAAATATGTAGATTCACACATTGAAAAGTACAATTTCACAGTCTATCTATAACAACATTTATTTGGTCACATACACACAATGAAACAAAAAATGCATCTATGGGCATGTGAAATATGCAGATACACACATTGAAATAAACAGAATTTCACAGTAGATTCCCAACAAAATTTGGCCACAAACACACAATGACACACAAAACACATCTATGAGCATGTGAAATATGTGGATACACACATTCTGCAAAGTACAATTTCACAGTCGATTCCTGACAGCAATTCACCACATGTATATACTCACATCTCACAAGATAGCACTTTAACTAAATAAAGGAAAAATGTTTACATATATATGAAATTCAAACAGTTCCAAAACACATAGAAATGATGTTGATATACTCAATAGCACAAAAATGCACAGTTAACTGCCAAAGACGTTTGGCCACATATGTACAAGAAAACACGAAATAGCATTTAAAACAAAATAAAGGTAAATGCATCTATGAGGATATGAGTTATGCAGACATGAACTCTAGCACATAGAAATAATGACCATATACTCAAAAGTACTCATTCACAGTTGCTCGAAGATGTCTGGCTACACTCACACATGTATGAGAACCAAATAACACATATAATAAAATAAAGAAAAATGCATCTATGTGCAAACATGAACTCTGGCCAGTGCCAAAACATAGAAATAATGACCATATACTCAAAAGTACTCATTCACAGTTGCTCGAAGATGTCTGGCTACACTCACACATGTATGAGAACCAAATAACACATATAATAAAATAAAGAAAAATGCATCTATGTGCAAACATGAACTCTGGCCAGTGCCAAAACATAGAAATAATGACCATACACTTAAAAGTACTCGTTTCACATTTGCCCAAATATATCTGGCCACAATCGCACATGTATGGAAACAAAATAGCACATAAATACACCAAATAGCACATATAATAAAATAAAGAAAAATGCATCTATGTGCAAACATGAACTCTGGCCAGTGCCAAAACATAGAAATAATGACCATATACTCAATTAACAGTTGTCCAAAGATGTCTAAATATATCTGGCCACAATCACACATGTATGGAAACAAAATAGCACATAAATACACCAAATAGCCCATATAATAAATAGAAAGATGCATCTATGTGCAAACATGAACTCTGGCCAGTGCCAAAACATAGAAATAATGACCATATACTCAAAAGTACTCGTTTCACAGTTGTATGAAGATGTCTAACGACACTCGCACATGTATGGGAACAAAATAGCACATAAATACACCAAATAGCCCATATAATAAATAGAAAGATGCATCTATGTGCAAACATGAACTCTGGCCAGTGCCAAAACATAGAAATAATGACCATATACTCAAAAGTACTCGTTTCACAGTTGTATGAAGATGTCTAACGACACTCGCACATGTATGGGAACAAAATAGCAAATAAATACACCAAATAACACATATAAATAAAAGAAAAAGCAACTATTTACTGCATGATGCCTACAATGCATGATACAAAGCAGAGGGTGAGTGATTTACAGCCAGCCAGGCCTATCGGAGTGCTTCATCTGTTCCACTTGTGTCCGCTGAAATCACGCCAAAAATTTATTTGAATAATAATTTGAATATAACCTAAATATATTACACAAAAAGAGCCATATATACATCAAATTCACTCATCCAGATTATTATCCCGAAATATGAAGATTAACAAAAGCAAAAACAGATCTCTGACGTATTCAAAACTACAGGTGATCTAAGGCAGGGCTTCCCAAACTAGGGGCCGCGGACCTGGAAGGAGTCGCGAAACGAATTTTAGGGGCCGCGAAGAGAACACCAATTTTACACAAAGTACCATATATATTGTACTTTTTCAGACTCTTGATGCGAAATACAATTATTAAAAATAGTGTAAAACAAAGATTTCACGATTCCGAGTGAATACATCATCATAATAACGTGTTTCCCCGAAAATAAGACAGTGTCTTCAATTTTCTTTCAAAAAATGACACTAGGGCTTAACCGTTTAAAAAGTAGAAACGATTTCTTGCTATCGACTGGGACTTAGTGTTTCTCGAACTTCATTGTATTGTGACGCCCTCCAAAAATATGCTCAAGTTGTGACTCCCCGTGAAAATACGTAATGATCATATAAACAAACAAAACTTAACGACAGTCAGCAAAATCGCATTTGATGGCCCCTGGTAGAAAGACTGCTTTATCTAAATACATAACGAAATTTTCTGTGAAAGTTTGGTTGAAACATTCACGAATCACGGAATTTTGCGACGCCTCAGCAAAATTGAAACGACGCACTTCCACGGGATTAAGAAAAAACAATAGTTGCGCTATCGACTAAGTACCGGTAAGTCTTTTTAAAGGCGATCGCTTATATTAACACGCTTTGTTATTGTTATGTTTTATTGTTTTTCATTGTTGCCAATGATGTGTATATGAAGCAAATTCATTTTACCATTTTATGTTGTGACTTTCTGTTACGCAGGGTAACATAAGAGGGTAAGATAAGAGGTAAACCTTACAAGGCCTACATGCTGCAATTTCATAGGCTGCAGTTTATTCATTTGCTGAACCGAGATTATCGAACATGAGTTTTTTTCAGCATTTTAAACCTGGCAGAAATAAGTAAGAAACCTTAACCTTCTGCCGTTATTCCTTAGACCTACATGTTTGAAAACATCAAAAGACATAAAGTACATATTAACGATGACAAATTGTGTTTTGTTTTGAGGCAGCTCATTTTTCGTGTAGGTGCGTCATGGGTTTCCCCCGGATAATTTGGCGTCGCACAAACCCCTGCCTTATGCTAAGTTTGATCAATAAGAGTGAACAATTGAGATGAGGACCATGTCGTCGGTGGCCAGACATCATAATTCATCATTCAGGTCTCATAAACAAACATTGAACAACGGCTTGACTTGACTATGCAGCAAAAGTATTCGCACCCATTACACTGAATAATTGAGTAATGTTGATCTGAATAAATATGTGCTCGTTTTTATTTTATTTGGTGGCGATATATAGTTGAAAATTAGCTGTGCCAATAAGACATCGAAAATGCATATTTCGAACTGGCATTATTAACATGAACAAGGGCCGAAAAAAAATTTAATATATTGAAAAGGGGCCGCGAGCTCAAAAGTTTGGGAAGCCCAGGTCTAAGGTATGTGAACGACGCTTAGTCGCACCCAGTGTTCCCTCTAAGGTGTGCACGTGTGCGCGCGCACACAGCTTTCAGAGGCTGCGCACACGCATAGATTTACTGCGCACAGACGTATTTCGATGTAATGTAACAATGTTCTCGGTTGGCAGGTTGAGAAGATTTGTTGTTGGCCCACCCATTACCCGGTTAGAACACCAAAATTTCCTCATCGGTTTTTGCACAAATATTAGTCATTTCCAAAAAAGTGCGCACACACTAAAATTTCTGCGCACACATACTACAAAAAATTAGAGGGAACATTGGTCGCACCTCATGTCAGCCACTGATATCTGACAACATGCAAGGAGTTACTATCATTTGAAAGGACTGGAACCTTTTCCCCATCACAGCCCTGCTGCCTACAGTAGGAACTGCTGATAATGACATGATATATGATAGCAGAGACTCACTAAGAATATCATTAATCCCAAAAAACTTAAGCAAGCAAGTAATAGTAATTTAGTAACATAATAATGTCATATACCAATATATGTGCTTTCACCTTAACATGTCCATTACTAAAGTACTGTATTAAATGCATCTAAGGGCATATTTCCTGAAAATACAATTTGTAAACTAAAACAGTGCAAGGTAAATTCCCCCAGAAAATCACTCCCAAAAATCTTCTTAATGCACGAGTTGGGATTGCATTATTTCCAGAAAGAAATTTTCAATTTTCAAAAGAGTTGCAAAATTTTCTGAGTTGAATATTTAAAAGCGTTTCTTATAAGGGAGTCAGGATTGAATTGTTCCGGTGTAATTTTTGTGCTGTAACTTTCTAAGAGTGAAATGAACTTCCAAAGAAATTATTTTTTGGACAGATGAATTTTTGTTGGAGGAAACTTTGAGTAACACTCTCCGAAAGAGAAACTTCCAGAGAGTCTATTCTTTCTGGAGAAAATTTTTGAGGGAAGAATTTCAAGCGCCAATTTTAACAGTAGTCTAATTCTTGGTGCATTTTCTGGTTGAATATTACATGAAGGAATTTTCATCGGTTTAATTTCAGAGAAAATTTTTCAAAGGAATTGTTTGTGGGAAGTATCTTTCTGACTGCACTTGAAAGGGGAAGCCTCTTCTAGAATCACTAATTACTCAGGTTTAACTGTAGAAGCGTTTACAATTCCAGTACTTAAGCCTCGTCCAAATGATGAAATTAGTAGCGTAGATTTGTTTGGAGTTTGAAGGGAAGTTGCTTGCGGATATTATTGGAGGTTAGAGTTGAATTCTGTCAGAGTGCAATTTTCAACATATTTATTAAAAATATATTTCTTGCGGTTAACTTGCTGAGAGGGGGGGGCATTTGGGGGGGGTAAAAGAATTTGGGCATGAGCGAAGCTTTCCGAGTGATGAATTTTCAGAAAAACTATTTTTTGAAGAAAAAATGGAGAAAGTGAAAATTTCCATGGAGGGATTTTTTTCCAACACATATGGGATAAATAGCTATCCGAGTTTAACAGTAGAAGCGTTTACAAGTCCAGTTCTTGGGCCTCGTCCGATTGATGAAATTAACGCAGCGTGATTATGCGATTGTAAGAAAGTATCGTCCTTTTGTTTGACCTCTGACCTCGCAGCTTCTGCCGCCCTTGCATTGGCCCGAGATAGTTGTATTGCGGCTTCTTTTAATTGCTGGTGTGTCTTGGAACGATAGTCTTTGGCTTCGAGGAAATCCTGTAAATATGATAGAAATGGAATAAATCACATGAATCAAATAAATCTACTATCACCGATACATAAGTATAAGTTTATTCTGACTCCATAACCAGCATCACAGGGAATAAAATGACTGATAAAATGACAGGTCGCCTCGACTTACTTTAACGTAAACCTGTTCTAATATTTATAGTTTGTTCGATTTATATATTACTGTTATTTATCAATTACTGTTAGACTTGTTATGGGTGTCGCTGCTCGATCACCAGTCTTGGTGTCTCGCGCCTCCCTTCACCCTAAAGTACCATATTTCCTATTTCTTGTATTGTGTAATCACATTGTGTGCTTTGGAATGGTGAAAAAATAAATTACTGATTACTGACTGATAAAAACAAATAAATAAAAGCTGGTCGTGAAATCAGGATAGCGGATAAAACCTTAAGCAAGGTTTAAAACGTAAAGAATATACATTCTGAAACTACGCTGTGGATGGGATCAAGGGAATTAATTTATTACTTAAGAAAATTACTTTTTGAATTTTGGTTAAAATTTCTGACTTATGAAAAGTTTGAAAATACTACTGATTCAATATACATAAAACCTTGTCAAACTATGACGCCAGAGCATTGTTTGAAAATATTATTTTCGAATATCAAACATAAATTAAAATTGGATAAAATTTGATTCTATTCCTTTGCCTGAACAAGCTCCATATTATCAGCTTTCCTCTCCCCCAGATTATATCAAAACACCTACCTTAGTCTCTGATAAATATTTCTTCTCTTCTTCTTCAATCTGTTTTAGTCGACGTTTCTGTTCTTCCTGAGAAACTTCTCTTAATTGTTGAGCTCGTTTCGATTTTGTTTGAATATTTTGCATCAGAGTTGAGTTTGCCTTCTTCAATAATTCTTTCTATGATATCAAAAATAATTTTTTGATAGAAACTTGCCCATGAAGTTCAAACATCACACAATAGGATAAGATTTTGATATTTATCATGGCGGAGAAAATCTGATAACACAGTTTCCTCTGATGGCAAACCACGGCCTTTCGTCCGGTTACGAGTCCATGTCGAGTATGGGAATAGTTAGCCGATTATTTGTTTCCATATACATGAACAATTTGATGCTATATTTCAGGGTGGTCCAAGGTTGTCGGCTCCGCGGGCCACAAATTTATTTTTTCATTGTTTGCGGGCCACAATAGTGCCAAGAATAGGTAAACAGTGCAATACAAAACAAACACTTTTATTGTGCAAACACATAGTTATCAGATATCGCCATCACAGGCTAATGGAATCCGCATTCGATTTTTATTTTTCTATGACACCTATATTGTTAGCATATATTCCCGACCAAAAAGATAGAAAGCCAGATAATAATTAAGACTGTCAAGCACATCATTCAACTTTGCTATTTGCCTCAGCTATAGCCATAACACTAGTCAATTCAGTGACATTAGAGTCAAATATATGTCTCAATAATATGTAACAATATGTTTTTTCAATTAATTGCGATTTATTGATTACTCTCCGAATGTGAGGTGGGCCACAGTTAATGAAGCAGCGGGCCACATGGGTTTGGACCACCCTGCTATATTTCATTGAAATTTCTAAGAAGTCTCAACTGGTCATCATCAAGCCTACGACACCATGTATAGTTTCAGATGCTTCAACTTGCATGTAGATGGAAGCCATAGCCAATTAGAGTTTCATGAACCATCATGTCACGACGAAGAGCTCTTCTAGCACAGGGTTATTACCTGGGCGGTTTCCATGTTTATATAGAAGAAAAGAGTGTAAAACAGCTCAAATATGAGGCTAAACACTGGTTGATGGCAACATGTTTCAAGTCAGATATGCAAAAAGTGAATGGCACATACCGTATTTTCTCAATTTGTAGCCCGGGCCCATATTTTTTTCAACCAACTCACTAACCGGGCCCTTATTCAAGCACGGGCGCTTGTTATTTTCGATCGTTACAATAATTAATATATTGTTATTTCCAGTTTTAAAGTATGATTTAAACGAGAATAACGAAAATTTTGACTTTTTCTACGCACCGCAGGTACAAATCCGCAAATAAAGAAAAGTTTTGCGACGCCCTATCAATATTGAAATGACGCACTTGGGCGTCGCGACGCCTAGTTTGAGAACCATGGTGTTACGCAATCAATGCTATCTGTTATGTACTTAAATGTCTCTTTTCTCTCTTTGGCATTTGCGAGAATTAAAAAAATTACAAAATGTCGCGGGAAAAGCGTTGTGACAAAAGCGCTTCTTATTTCCTATTGTTCTCTACCACTGAAAAATCAGCTTTTACATCGGGCGGGTATTCAAGCACCGGCCCTCATTCATTTTTATGTTCTGTTCACACGAGCGGCTATTCAAACGGGCCCTTAATAAAGATCAGGCGGTAAAACGAGCATATACGGTATACTTCAAACTGTAACAACCAAGCTGACTATATGTACCACTTTAGCGATGGCAAATAGTCTAGAGATCCTCATTCATATATATTGCTACATTTATGTAGAATCTCTGGGCTATAATAGCAACATAATAATCATTTGCGACTTTGTTTCAATACAAAGTCACTAAGACAGCTACATTAGAATTCATAAATAATGTTTTTATCAAATTTGAGTTGCAAGTCTCTGCTGGGGAAATTTTTAACTAAACACTAATAGTTGATAATAGAAGAGCCAACAAAACCTTTTATATTCGAAGCAATTTAACCCTTTCCGTGCGGTGGGCACGTATACGTACCCACGACAAAACTCGCTAGATTACGGCGGGTACGTTGATGTACTCCACTGTTTTATTTAGCAATCGGTCGCAAACTGTTGGTCTAGTTTTTCCGGGTTTTAGTTTATTGATAAGAAGTCTTCTTCGAGATTAACATAAGCGACGGTAAATCTCTTCCATCTACCAAAGTATTTTGAGTTAGATAACGAAATTGCTACAGCAATATTATTCTATTGTTTGCCAACCAAGAAGCGGTAACAGTAAAGGATTTAGCGAATATTTCTATTTTTTATCACGGTTTGAAGTTTCAACACCCAAGAAAAAAAAATGCCTTTTTTCTATCCGGGTTGTGACTCAAACCACCCCTTTTAAAAAAAAAAATTTTTTTAATCGCCAATTGCAAGCTCTTTAAATAAGCTTTCCAACGAGCCGTCAGTGGGCAGCAGAGGATCATTACTTTTTTGTTAGTCGATCGATTAGTTGTGGGGGTACAAATGCATAAAGTCGGCGTAGCAAATACGATTATTTAATAAAAAATAAAAATCGCATGGAAAGGGTTAAAGAACCTTTTTATATTTACAATTGAAAATGTAAAAATGGGAAAGTCCCCTCCCTATGGCAAAATTTTTCAAAATTTCCAGATCCCCTCCCCTTACTTTAATTTATTGCGTGAAAAAAAAAGATGACCGAATTTCAACCACACCACCTTGTGTTCAGCAATAGATTGCAAGTATTCATCGTTCTTCTTATTCAGTGTTTCATGCTTTTCCTTGGTTCTTTGCATTCTTTCATCCTCTTCTTTGGCTTGTAATCTCAGTGATTGTTCCCGCGCTTCAATCTGGTAAAAACGAATTCGTTTATTTAAATTCCAAGCTCTACTAAGGTCAGGGCAGTTTAGGTGGCATTTTTGTATTGATAATAGGGGGGAAAGAAAGTGGATAAAATAGCATTATCATTTGGCGGGGCTCCCGAAGTATGCGAACCAAGATGGCGGACATCGGAATGTAATATGTGTACTAGGTTAGGGTTAGGCCATAATTTTAGGTATAAATGCTACGGGAGGCTCTTGGCTAGTCTTCGAACTGATAATAGGACTAAAATAAGGAAAATTGGAAAAAAATTATGGCCTAACCCTAACCTGTTACCCATGTTACGTTCCGATGTCCGCCATCTTGGTTCGCATACTTCGGGAGCACCCATTTGGCAAACAACGGCATTTATTTCGATTTCCAATTCAGTGTATAGATGATTCGCTTTTTAGACCAGGTGCAAGAAATTAGTGGGTTATAGAAGTCACAAAAATGGCCTGTGAAGACATGAACCGGCGCTCCAGAAGTGTGTGTACCAACACGGAGGTAACTAATTTTGTTTGCCTATTTTACATCAAGTTGTGTAAAGGTACTGAAATCTATGAGCAGGGGCTGTATTCACTTGGCTAACAAAGACAGTTCCCGAACTTGTAATAGAACCAAAATAAGAAAAATCGGAATAAAATTATGGCCTAACCCTAACCTGGTACACATACCATGGGAGCACCCATGAACCACCTGCGGATTTCAGAAATCTCCTTCTACACAGAAACCTGCGTACAAGCAGCTACATATATTCTTACATTCCTACATTACATTTGTGTTTATACTTTACGGTAATACTGCCATTCTAGGGCTGGTTCTGTTGGTATGTCATTGAAGTAACTACAGTGATACCCAGCAGTCAAACAAAAATTTTCAGTAAAAAATGCTGCAGACTGTGGTACTCGACATCCTCTGGGCTGCTTTAACGAGACAGCGATGCTCAAATATATGGACACGAAGGCCAACAAGAAGTAGGCTACACGTTTTGTTAATATTTTAGGTATTTTGAAAAGCATAAGAACGAATTAAAATATATACCAAGTTTCGATACTCAAACAAATCGTTAGTCAAACAGCAATCCGGTACGAATTATGTTCGATTACCGAGGTATCACTGTATTATACTTTGGCTTATACAGTGCCTTGTTCAATAAGTTACCTTTCTTGTTCTTAATATTTCAGCCTTTTCCATCCTTTTCTGTAATTCAGTTTTTAGTCTTTCCTCATCTTCATCTTTCCTTTTCTTTAATTCATTTTCGAGTTTCAAAAATTTTTCACGCTGAGATTTGTTCAGATATTGCAGCTGAAAAAAATATAGGAGAGGTGTTGAATTTGTCCCGAAAGGAGGAAAGGAAAGCTTGTAAGACAGTGAGTCTTATCCTTTGAGCCTGGCGAATGCCTACGTTACTTTGGGAAGATTACCATATGTCCCGATTTAGCCGGGATAGTTCCGATTTAGCCAGCATGTCCCGGCGTCCCACCTGTTACCTTCAAATGTTCCAGCTATGAAGTATGGCAGATATATTTTTTTTTATTTGATATCAATACAAATTATTGTTTTTGTTTGTTAGTCCATTTGTCACTGATTTGCGAAACACTTCACTAGTCCAGTGAAAGGACTACTACATTGTTTGGACCAATGTTTTAACTCGTTCAAACCTGGGGCACAACTGGAATTTAATGAAAGAGAACCTAATTTCTTACATTGTTATTGAAAATGAAACTGCACATAGAAAAGCTAAAGTTCGGATAGGAATATAGGTGGTGGAATATAGTAATTTTTACAAAAAAGGTAAAAAGCTGGGTAATAGAGGGCTCTTACAGAGTAAAATTACTTCAGAGGACCTCCATTGAACCCCGGGGGGGTTCGAATGAACCCAGGTTAAAAAACACTGTTCTATAACTTAGTGGGTCTGAGTTTAGTGAGTTTTGCCAAAAAACAAATAATTGCCCAAATAAATGAAATGATTCTAGCCTTAAGCACAGGTAATTCAGAAACGTAAAATGATTTCAGTCAGAGCTTCTCAAATTGGCCTTCGCCCAACTAGGGAGCCGCAGAGATTTTAAAGAGTCCATTGGCAAAGGTATTCATTTGGTCCAACTCGTGGTGACTCCATTACATAACTTTATAATGTAAATTGACAGTGATTTGTTTAGTTTTATGACTGTAGTCTGTATTGTACTTGATTTTTTGCTTCTGTTTTCTCAGTATTAAATTTGATGCAGAAAATAACTGATAGAAATGCGTTCAAAGCAAATCTGGGCATTCTATAGAAAAGGAGGGAAGCAACAAAGCTCCCCTCAACTTTCTAATACAGCGCGCCTTCAACTCACATTTCTGTGTTACTTAGCACTAACGGCATTATCGGCAAGTAAACTGGCAACTGACATGCACCTTCTCTACTTCTACAAGATGAACGCTGTAAAACAGTCATTTTTAAGGCATACATCTGCAGATAATAAATTTATGAGCAATCCTTGTTTTCATGCTTCAAAAATAAGGTCGTTCGAGGGCAAAAAATTACTTGAAGGCCGCATTTGGCCCGCAAGGCTCCGTTTGCCGACCTCAGCTCTGGAAGGGCACGAATCATGAAAGACAATCATTGACTTGGTGGAATTAATCGAAAATGACTGCAGCAATGTTTCAGGTTAATGACACTTACAAAATATTTTGCAAATGCTCATATGCATGGACAGATCATTTCATAATGTTTGCCAGGAACAATAAATGGAATCTGGATAGGTGCTTTATACCTTATTAATCTCTTTCATTTCCATTTCTAATTTCGTTCTCTGCGCTTTATCCAACTTTGTGTCAATCTCACGCTCGGTTGCTTCTTGGAATGCCTAGACAATGTAAAAAATAAAATTTTTAGTCAAAAATACAGAATTGGAAACATCCCTTTTTAAATAAGGGTGTCCATAAAGTCTTAGAATTTTTCAAAATTGCATAGGGAATTTATCGATACCATATATTGTTTTGGCCCTCACCGATGTATTAAATGAAGAAAAAATACCTAATTACTGATTAAAAAGCAACAAACCTGGTTAAGATATATTGAAAACTGACTTCAACACAAAATTAAAATTGTAAATGGACTTTATGGACACCCTGTATTCAGCTAATGATAACAAAACGAGAATATCGGTTGGAAACCGAAGACTTATCGATCGATAGTTAGGGGATCCCCCAAAACAGAAACTGCAGTTTCGATTCATCCGCTCTTGTAACTTGCGCACTGCGCATCGCACACACACACTCGGCGGGTCTCAAAATTCTCTCGCTTCACAAAAATCTAGATAACTATATCAATAATTGATTGATAACTCGCTAATTATACGACATAATTCGGCCAAAATCAATAGGCTTCTGGTCCGAGATAAGATGAATGCACATGCAAAATCTGGAGCAGATTCAATCTCGCTTTCTTGAGATATGGCGTGCATCTAACAAACATACAGACAAATACCTATCAACATACTTACCGATTAAAATCGATAAGTAATAATGGCGATACAAACAATGGGATTAGTATGACAGGTGGACTCCTCGTTATAGGGCATATTTTCTGTTTTTGTTTAATCAGCGATGCAATGGCCAATGGCAAGTACATTCCCAATGGTTAGCACGATGTGTCAACCGCCAGAGGCAAAGGTCAAAGATCATAGGATATCAAAACTTCCTACCTTTACTTCCTTCTCAACAGTATGCTTTGCAGCTTCCTGCTGTTGTTTCCGTAGCAATTCAGATTTCCTTCTTTCTTCTATTATTGCTCGTTGGATTCTTTCCTATTGAAACATTTACAGGAACATTATTATTTCGCTTTAAACCAGTGGTTCTCAAACGATGGGGCAATTTTTTGAGAGGGCGTGAAACTAAATAAAAATACTTGTTAGATTAGATCTTGCCCCCCCTGTTTTGGATATTCACATTCCCTTATTTTGAATATTTACGCTCAATCACGTATTTCCAACGTGTTTTTTAATAGAACATACCTTCTCCTTATTATTTGTAGCTTAGAGTAAGCTAGTGTTTCTCAAAGTATGGGACTAAGAATTTTTGAAATGTATTTTCCGTAGTTTTCACAGGGCCCACAGTAAGTCCCAGATAAATGGCTGAAATTAAACCAAGGATTGGAAGTTCAACTTGCTGATGAATAGAAGAGTATCCACATTTTTATCCCGGGGGAGAGGAAAGCCGAGAAGGCGACTCGATCATATGGCGAACATAGGCCTCTCGACCGGTTACCAGTCCTTGTCCATGGAATAGTTAGCCAGTTATTTGTTTTCGAAAGCATGGACTTGATGGTGGAGGAAGCCGTTACCGACCAGCGATTATCGGAACCACCCTACAGCCGTGAGGAGTCTGGTAATCCTCTCACACATAACTATCCCTGCATGGTATTCAAACCTGCGAACCCACACAGGGTAACCATGGGTGCAGTGGTGAGTGCATTCCTAAAGCTTAGCACGATGTGCAACAGCACTGAGTCGTAGTATAAGTAGACACAAGGAGTATTTTGGTCTTTGACACATCAACAGTATTTTCCATATCAGTGAACTAATCATTCTTATGATACATAATCATCACCTGTTCCTTTCTCTTTCTTTCAATTTGTTTCTCTGTTTCTTCAATCAACGTTAATTTCTCTTGCTCATTCCTCTTTATTTCTCTCACTCTTCTATCCTCTTTCTCTTTCATTCTCTTCTCCCACTCCAAATGAGATTGCCGAAGACTTCGATCTTTTTCAAGCTGGTCTTGGAGCTAAGAAAAATAAAGAGAAAATTATTTTTGCTGACAGGGAAATATAAAGTCTCTTCGTAAAGACTGGGCGGCACACTGTATAAGTATTTATCAAAGTCAGTTGAACTTCAGAATATATTTAATATTTCGGCGCTCCTGAAATGTGTTTACCAATATGGAGGTAACTAATTTTGTTCGCCTACAATGAATCAAGTTGTGTAAAGGGACGAAAACCTATGGGCAGAGGGTATGTCTACTTGGCTAACACAGACAGTCCCCAACCTCGAAATTGAACTAAAATAAGGAAAATCGGAATAATATTCTGCGCTCCCTAACTCTAACCTGGTACACACACTACGTGAGTATTGATATTTCAAGGATTATATTATTTTTCACAGCACTACAAAACACAAGGGACACATCGGACATCGAGGCTGTATGGTTGGAGCAGTGTTTTCAAAACTATGGGTCGCGACCCAGAATTGGGTTGCTTATTAATTTCCTTGGGTCGCTCATTTTTACAACAAAAACCTGAAAATTATCTTATTTTCTAGTAAATTTTATTATTTATTTTATATTTGTAATGAAGTGTTGCTCAATAGCAACTGAACATCTGGGAATTATCACAGCGTAAAAACTTGGCAGCTGCTGTTTTGCTTGAGTAAAGCCATGCAACAATTTCAAAAAATGATGAAAACAGATGAGTCCGCTGCTCCCCAGCATATGAATATACTCACTTTTCTTCTCTCTTCTTTTCTCTTCTCATCCACCCACTCTTTTTGTTTTTCACTAATTTTTCTCGCCTCGTTCTCCTGCTGTTTCCTTTTATCTTTCATGACTTCCAAGATTTTTTGGTCTTTCTGTGAAAAGTAACGATAAAAGGGTCGATTTGTACATTATTTACTGTATTATTTAGCATTATAGTTATTGCACAGTGCTAAGCATTGGGGTTATCTTGAGAAGCTCCAAAGAAAAGTGAAAATAAGGCTTCAATAAAAAAAAATAGGAATTCGTTCAACCTTTGTCGACCAAATAGAAAAAGATGGCGGCGATTTGAATAATTTACTATTCGATCCAAAATTCCCTTACACTATTACATTTGTTTTCTGACCACAGTTCCTACAAAAGCTAATGTTAATGCTGTTTTGGTTTGGCCCCCTTTATTTTAACCGCGTGGGATGGGTTTTGAATGACTGAGGTCTATTAAACCTATGTAACCTTTGACCTCCAACCTAGCTTTCCTAGGATGTAAAGAAAATCAAACCTGTTTCTGTGGTGTAGAACAACCGCTCATGAATTGCGAGCTTGCAAATTTCATTGATGATGCCAGTTCCATATCTGCACCCTTGAAAGGTTTCCTGAAATGACAAACAAGAAAAATACATACAGACGCAAGGAGTAGGACGATAGGATTTTACATGTTTATCCCGGGAAAGTAGAAAGCCAATGACATGGCCTAATTAGACAGCGAACCACGGACTGTAGTCCAGTTATCAGTCCATGCCGAGTATGGGATTACTTATTTGTTTCAGAAGCATGGACTTGATGGTGGAGAAAGCCGTAACCGACTACCGGTTATGTGAACCACCCTACGGCGGCAAGGAGTCCAGCAATCCTCTCGGACATAATTATCTCACCATTGGAATCAAACCTGTAAACCCGAGCATGGTAATCAGAGGTGCGGTGGCTTCTCAACGAGAGACACAAATCAAAATTTTCTTCCTAAAAACAATTCAACTCCTCCCTGAGTGGAAAAAGGTGAAGTAAACTTTATTTCTGTCAACTCTCATCCGAAAAAGAATCAAAAATTGGAAAACTTACACTTTTGAGTAGTCTAAGCTTCGACTTCGCTTTCTATCCTGCCAATGTCGATCTGAGAGAGACCGGGATCTCAGTGATGAAGAATCTGTATGCAACGGTAGATAGTTTAAATTTTAGATATGATTTCTATATTTATCTCATGGGAGAGGAAAGTTGATAGCATAAGCACACGATGAACCATGCACTCCCGTTCTGTTACCAGTTTGTCCGAACCTTGGCAAGGCGGAAAAAAAAATTTAGGAAAAAATTTACTTTACAAAATCCAATTTGTAATGTAGCCCTATAGTAGACTTTTGATTCTCTCTATTCATTCTAAAATAGTAAATTCAATGAATGGTCGGTTGATAAAAGCTTTTAGAAGTGTTCGACAATAATTCAATAGTGATTTTCACTTTCAATTGTGAAGTAAATATAACAAATTCTAAATTCCATTATGGCTGAACAATGGCGAAGAAAAACAAACTATGATGGAACAAAAGCTTAAGTAGCTTTACCAAGCGAGAATGTCAAATAATATTTGACCCATTATCCAGTGCTATTGAAATATAGTAATGTATAATAATGGAGACACATATCTTAGATTCTGATATTTATTTTGCAATGGAGAAAAATAATTATTTTGCAAAATGAAGAAATAAAATAAATGATCACAGCATTGTAATGTGGACTCGGTCTGAAATGTGGTAATATGGATTCGCTTTCAGAAAATTGGCTAAGAGGTAGTGTATTATACAAAACAAGTTCTTGGGAACCAATTTCCAGCGCTTCAATTAGAGCGGTATTCCTTGAATTGGCCCCTTTTCAATCCCTGGGGGGCCCACATTGTGGATATCTGAGGGCCACAAGAAAAAGTATTCACTAAGTACAATCTGCCATGACTAAATTAATTTGATTAAAGTAATTAACTGGCGATTTCTTGCATAAAAGGTGGCCCCTAAAAACGGCACTAACGAAGAATTTATAAAAATGCGCTTTTAAGTCGACCTCAAAAATCATAGCAAGGCATTTACATTTTTAGTGTGATCAGAGAACATAATTATAAGCAGACTCCTTAGTTTAACTTTTTTTTTTGAGTTTTAAACTTGGCTTATATGCAAGAATATACAGTAACTGGTGATTTGTTGAGTTTATCGACTGCATTTCTTTCTTTCTTTATGTTGTTCCATTAATAAACGTGGAACATAAAAAATAATAATGTAGGCAGAATGTGAGCTAGGTATTTCAATAGTAGAGCAAGTGGCTGCAAGCGTTGACCGTCTTTGAGTGAGGAACATGGATCACGAAAGTTTGAGAATCACTGCGGTAGAGAGCATTTTTTTTTTTTATTAGTCGTCCTAAGTCAAAAATCCTTAATAAAATTTGACAACGTTAGCGATGGAATGTGGCGGTATTTCAAATATGACGTTATCTATTTCCAATAAAGATTTTTATTTTTTTAAATTGATTGTGTGGCCCTGTAAATAAGTGTCAACCTCATCACAGGCTCGATAACACCAAAAGTTTAAGATCCCCTGCCCTAGAAAATGACAAAACAGGAAAATCATCGGAGTTCCCATCCTTAGCAACTCACCTCCTAACATACTTCTCCCGGTTCTTTCCAAACTTTTTCTTGAACTGCTGTGTTTTGCTGCAACTGGTGTGGAAATCATGTAAGGTTCTTCCACTGTGAAACATAACAAACAATATAATAAAATTAAAAGCAACAATGTCTGGAGTTTTGAATGTATCGATATGCAGTACCAGGTTGTTGTTTATATGAGCTAGTCGGTGGACTTGCTGGCCTAGTGAAGGTTTCCCAAACTAGGGTCTAACTCTGAGGACCCCTGGGGGTCCATGATGACTGCACAGGGGTCCGGAACAATGAAAAAAGGGATATGAAAAGAGCCTGATCGATCTTTGATGATTGAATCTGACCGAAAAGCCGTCGCATCTTTTTGGTTGAGCGTTGCGGACGAATATCCATTGCTGTCAGATCAAAGGCAATTAAAATTGTATTGCCTTTTGCAACGACCTACATGTGTGAGGCAGCATTTTCAGCTCTTTCCAATATGATTACAAAATACAGGTCAAGACCTTCCAATTGTATGAAACTCGCTTCATATTATGCTTACTTGGATCATTTGCTTAAAGTTTTATATCTAAATAACCACTTTACATATACAAGTTCAGACTTACGATTGGCCTCTGATCTGCTTTTCGACTTCACAAAATTTGCTCCTTGTCTTGGAGTCAGACGTTGACCAAACTTTTGTGGTGTTAACGACTGTTTCAGTAATTTCTTAGGATTTCTTGGTGATGTGTTTGGTATCGTTGGAATGACCTCATATGTGTTGTTCACCTTGGTGTAAGTAGGATTTTGATGTTTATGAGGGGGAGAAAAGTGATAAAATGGCTTATTCTAATCGTAAATCGACTGTAATATGGATTTACATGAACAAGTGCTGAAATGTGGACATACAGGGGCAACACTTTGCCTGAATATCGTTGTGATCGGGTATGAAATATCATGCTAACTGTTAGGAATACGCTCGCAACTGCACCTCTGATTACCCTGCATGAGTTCGCACTTCGCAGGTTTGAATTTCATACATAATTATTCGCGAGAGAATTGCTGGACTCCTCACCACAATGGAGTAGTTCACAGTAGCACTGGTCGGTTACGACACCAACAAGCATCTAAATCGAATACCTCTGCTGGCTAACTAATTCCATAGCTGTGGCTTTGCATAGGATGTGAGGAGTGAGGGAGGTGAATGTAAAAACTTCCTATAGATAAAAAAAACACTCTACTGACCTCTTCTGGATTATTATTTTCATCGTGGTCAAACTTATTCCCAACACTTTTAGATTGAGATAATGTTTCTTTCGAAGACGCTTTCTCTGACTTCATTCGCGGTAAAGTTTTACTTCGTGGCGTTATCTTCGTACTGCCAATCTTTGAGGAATTATCCTTCTTACTTTGCACTTTGTTTTCCATGATTATAGTTTGCCTAATCTCTTTGCACCTCTGGAGAAGTTCAATTCTTTTTAATTCGTGGTTGTCGTGGAACACCTGAAAGATGAAGGCATGTACCTATTGTTTTTTTTTTGAATAAAATATTTCGTTCACCAATATTGTATTTATCATGTTCTGTTAGACTGTTCCAAGGGGTAGATCTCGAAGTATGTGAACCAAGAGGGTGCACAACCTGAACCCTAACCTGGTACACATACTATGTTCAGGTTGTGCGCCATCTTGGTGCACATCCTTCGGGAGCACCCACAAGGTTACAACCAATTTTGGTTTTTGACGTCTCTTTTTACCCTGAAGTACTTCAAATTTTTTTGAATTTGTGTATGTGTAGTTCGTATTTTCAGTATGATGAAGAAATAAATTACTGATGAGTCAGTTTAGGTTCTTAGCAAGGGTGTCAAGAAACAAATCAAATATTCGATCTCATTTGAAACTGGCATTGACCGATCAATCACATCCGGGTTGGAACAAAGGGGTTGGGATTTAGGCGCTCCCGAAGTATGTGCAAAAAGATGGCGCGAACCCGAACCTGGTACATATACTGTGTTAAGAATATGCGCCATCTTGGTGCACATACTCCAGGAGCTCCGGGATTTGAACATAAGATTTTTAAACTGTGACGCAAACATAGTCTCGGCAGTGTGATGCATTGTGCCAAGCAGTTTGGAATATGCTCACCACCACACATCTGATTACCCTGCGTAGGTTCGAATGCTGTAGAGGTAATTTGTGCGAGCGAATAACTGGACTGCTTGCCGTAATATGGTAGTCAATGTAACCGCTGTGCAGTTACAGCTTCCTGAACCATCAAGTCTGAAATCAAATAACTGGCTAGCTATCTAATCCCATACCCGACATGAACTGGTAACCAAACGTGAGGTCGTGGTTCGACATATGATTAAATCATCTTATCGGCTTTCCTTTTCCTCGGGATAAATATGTCCGGGGCTCCCGAAGTATGCGAACCAAGATGGCGGACATCGGAATGTAATATGTGTACTAGGTTAGGGTTAGGCCATAATTTTAGGTATAAATACTACGGGAGGCTCTTGGCTAGTCTTCGAACTGATAATAGGACTAAAATAAGGAAAATTGGAAAGAATTAGCGCCTAACCCTAACCTGTTACGTTCCGATGTCCGCCATCTTGGTTCGCATACTTCGGGAGCACCATAGGTCCTATCCAAATAAATCCTATAGATGGGCCAAACTGTGGGAGCTGATTTGTAACATCAATGGCTACTACTTTAGCGCAACAGCATATTAGAACTGTTGTCCCTGCTTCATGGGCATTGTGGGTTTTAGGTACGACCCCTACCATGTACATCAGCCCAAATACAGTTTTGTGGAAAGCGGGACTATTAATATTATTTTTAATAGGCATTTAAACTTGAACATTTATCTGAAATGAACAAATTACCAACCATCTCTATACCCGAATAGATATGCAACTAGAATAAAGGCAGCTCCAGAAATATGTGCACCAAGATGGCGCTCATCCTGAACATAGTATATGTAGCCTACTAGGTTAAGATTCAGGTTGTGCGCCATATTGGTGCACATACTTTGAGAGCGCGGAAAACGACCCTAGTTTCACAAGTGATGAAGTGGTCTTATCGCCTTATCGGTTCAAACGATAAACAAGAAAATTGTATCTTAGCTTTCCCAACCACTAAACCATGACGTCTCAACAAAAAATAAAAATCCAAAAATCAATCAACCCCCCTATATTTGCATAGACATTACATCTATTACACCAATAAATAAACGAGAATATCGGTCAGAGACCGAAGACTTATCGATCGAAAGTTAGGGGATCCCTCGAAACAGCGCTCTTACTCCATAGTGACACCGTGTGTCCCATCACTAATTAATTAATAACTCGCTAAATATACGACATAATCAACCCAAAATCAATAGGCTTCTGGTCCGAGATAAGATGTATGCACATGCACAATTTGAAGCAGATTCAACCTCGCATTCGCGAGATGTCGCGTTCATCTAACAGACACACACACACAGACAGACAGACATACATACATACAGACAAACACCTATCAATATACTTACCGATCTTAAGATCGATAAGTAATCACCTTTCCCCTCTCTGGCATAAATCCTATTCTACTCAAACCTCTGACAAACACGAAAATATTTTCCTACAGAAACTTTACCTACACTAAGCCATCAAGCCTATAACCGATAGTAATAATAAAATACCCAGGCTTCCCTCAATATTTGCATAAGCATTCCATCTATCAGTGATTCCCAACTGAGCAAATATCTACGACGATGTCCCGTATTTACTTAAATCCTAAATAATCATTTAAAGTTTCATTTTGCTTCACGTTAATTAAATAAAGACTGATATTCTCAAGGTTATCTGTAACCAAATACGCTTCGTTGAAATATTTTGTATCAATCTTTAATGGGCTGCATTTGTACTTTTATAAGAACATGGCTCTAAGCAAGCGGCCCGCGGCATCATTTTATCTGGCCCGCAATAACACGCAAAAATGGCTAAATTTTTTTCCAAGGAAGATTTCCCCTAACATCGTCTTCCTTGTTTATTTCGTAACATTGACCAATCAGCAAGATGCAAAAAAACGTGACGTAATAAAAAGCCTCTTTGCATCTCAGCTCAGATAACTTTTGTCATCCTGACAGATTTCCAGTCGTGGTTGTAAACAATACCTCGTTTTTGCGACTTTGAATGCTATTCGTTAGTTTTTGATTGTGTTTCGGAAATTTAAGTATGAATCAAATAAGTCAACTATCATTTGCATCCTTAGGAGTTGTAGTTTTAATAGTAGTAATAAAAAATTAGTCTAGAAATAGCTGTGAAAAAATAGGCTAAAATTCTCTACCGGTACGCAACGTTTTCTGCGAAAGATGCACTTGTACACTCGTGGCGCGTGCTTTCGACGAAACTGTTTACGTTTCTTGTGCTAAAATAAATGTTGAATGTGCATTTTGCGCTAACAGTACTATAATCCCTCGTGTACTGCTCCAATTTCATAAGTCACACTAACTTTTGTACTGCTCAAATGCGGATATTCATGTAGTATGTTACAAAAAAAATAAAGTTCATCCGATTTAAATAAAAACTGCGCCAGTGGATAGATCTGAGTGAAAATAGGAAGACAATACCAAGTTTATAAAAAACGGTCAAGAATAACTTTAATAAATAATTTTAATACCGCCCGACAGGGCAATTATTTTCATAAGGATTGTATTACTTTTTCGATAAGAACTGTAATAAATATGAAAAAATAACACAGGTCATTCACTAATATTGAGACTATTTCGGGATTTTATTCTGGCAACGGTCATTGACACCGCCGAAAGATCGTCGCAAATAAACGCTGAAGTTGTGCATGATAGTTTAATTTGCACTACGTATAAAAGGGGGAGGCGGAATTTTTAAAAGCGTCGAAAGCTGAGAAATGTATGCGCTAATGCAAAAATTAAATACCAGATATGTTGTTTATTTTATCTAAATTATGTCAAAATTTCATGGAATTCCAAGCTACAGCAGGCAGTCCGTAGTCGTTTTCAGCAGTAGCAGTATTCCAACACGGCGTAACTGTACTAAGCAGACGTGAAGCGCACATTATTTTGGCGCGAAATAGCCGATTTTGTAACATTCCTAATTCATGACAGCAACGATTTGATAACAGCTAAACTCAGGATAGTTGTCTAGATATAGAAATCTTGTATATTTGTTTTCCTAGGATGTTCTTGATCTATATTCTGCGATATAGATAGAATTAAATATTCAAGTCTTCAGAAATGTAGAATATATATTGTTAAATAAATAGGATGAATTTCCCAACTTTTGTGAATTTATTTTATTGCATTGACAAAAATATTCATCCGGCCCGTTTCAACCCAGTTTGAGTCATACCCGGCCTGCGGTCAAAAAAGTTTGGTGACCCCTGGCCTAAAGAATAAAGTCAAAAGGTAAACTCTCCGTCCTAATCCCTGCCTGATTCATCAGAGTTACCAGCTTTCCTCTTCCTTTAATAAATCTATATTTACTATCCCCACTTGCTAACTATTTACACTGAGCAATTATGTACAGCGTTCCTGTATTTACTCAAATCGCCATTTAAAGTTTCATTTTACTTTACATTGATTAAATAAAGACTGATGTTTCTCAAGGGTACCTTTAACCGGTGCCATTACATTTGAACCCACGTACATTTGAACCCATGACAATTGCACTTGCATACTATTGCACCTATGAAATTTTTTTTGTTTCACGGGTAGTTAAACCCATACTAACCCTAACCCATGGGTTTTAGCACCCGCATATAGATTGAACCCGTGGATATACGCATGGGTTCAAATGTACGTGGGTTCAAATGTACTGTCACCCCTTTAACCAAATACGTTTTGTTGAAATATTTTGCATTAATCTTTAACAGGGTTGCACTTTCACTTCAGCTCTGAAAAATGCTTTAGGCAAGCATCCTATAATATATATGGCAGTGGTTCCCAACTTCAATGGCTTGTGGCCCCCTTCTGGAGGGTTTTAGCACTCATGGCCCCCTGTTTATCATTTTAGCGGTATTTATGGTGTTATTTTGATTGGTGTATTCCAAATCCCATTATGTTCAAACAATTCATGCTCAACAAAGTAAAAACACCCTGTAAAATATACCTTATCAAGAAACAGAAAGTTTTCTTGTAAAAGGAAAACTAAAATCAGTTTCGCGCCTAGCATTGTGGCTCCCTCCAACTGATCTGTGTCCCGCTTAGTGCGTCCCCGGTTGGGAACCGCTAATATAGGGTATTACCAGTGGGAACCCTTCCTTGAAATGTTGTGATAATCAGTGAACACGAATCTTGTTTTTTTGAGCTATAAGTTCTGAATGGTTTTATGAAATGAACCTGCTGTTAGTTAGTATGATACAAAAGAGAACCCGTTCTTAAAGTTTTGAATCCCTTCAGTCTTCTCTGAGTTATCTTGGGTTATTTTGCTCAAAAATATATCAGACATTGACTGGTAATCAGATGTCCCAGTTCATTATATAAGTAAGTCGTTTTATCAGCTTTCCTCTCGCAGTGATAAATATGGAATCAATATCCTAACTTGCTAACTGAGCAAATATCTACAATATTCCTGTATTTACTCAAACCATAAATAATCATTTGAAGTTTCATTTTGCTTCGCCCTAAATAAATAAAGACTGATGTTCTCAAGGTTACCCATAAGGGCCATAACCGAATACGTTCCCATCTGCTATGAAAATGGGTCCAGACAGGTACACAGTAAAATATAGGGATTCACTATTTGAACACTTGGTTCAACACATCTTGTATGAGTTGCATTTTTTACGAGATATTACTATATCTATATCTTCCGTTTGCTCTGAACTAGTCTGCAGATAAGTATATTGCATGCCTCGCAGAGGATTAAGACTTCTTATCAGCTTACCTCTACTATAATTTTATTTCTAATTAACTTCACGCCCCCTTAAAACATTATCTCCGATCCCCCCTTGTTGGACGTTCCCAACAGTACGGGAAACACTGCAGGTTATTATAACATTAAATGGAATAGGTTGTGTTTAGACTTCCTCCCTGAACAAAGCTTAAGCATCTACACTTCTGGAAAAAAACTGGGGTGCTCCTGGCTTTAAGCTTAGAGCATACACAATATTATTACCTCTGAGAACTCTCATATTTCTAGGGCCTATACACAAACAACCAGACTTCTCAACCAAGCATATAGCGTATAGGGCTAGGCAACCGTGCTAAATTATACAGTAAAAGTTATAAATAAATGATAAATTCAATTCCAGATCTGTTAACCACCAATACATTATTAATAGAAGAGAGAACAGCGAGGTTGGAGTTTCAGGATGTATATCTGTATATGAATAGTTTATACATTTTATAGCTTGTCCTATATAATTCTAGTGTCAGTAGATCCTGGCATTTTAGTCGGCATCACCCGTAGCTTCGCTCTGGTATCACTCTTCAGTTTTTTTAGTGAGTTTTTCTGACCTTGTTTTTAGCAAATATCTTAAAAAAAGTACTTCCTTGTTCTCACTAGAATTCTTAAGATCTTGCTTTGTGCCAATTCCACATAAAAAAAAAACGCAGCTTAGCAGAACCATACAAAACTGGAGGGAATGCTTTGCTTCGCAAAATAAACTTATACTTTGGGAAAATTTAACAAAAAAAAATACCATCTTAGTCTACAATTATAAATAAATGATAAGCACAGTATATACTGTAACTCAAATTATGTGTATAGATCATATATTATTGATAAAGGGAGACATGTTAAAACAGGCAAGGGCCATACATAATTGTGGTGATTGAGGATAAATTCAAGAACTATAGAGAAATCACACCCAAACACGTTCTGGGGAATTATGTGCAAGAGAATTGCTCGACTCCTTGCTGCCATGGAGTGGTCAGTTGCAGCTTTCTCTGCGTTAACGTCCAAGCATCGAAAATAAATAATTCGTTAATACCTTTACCCAACATGGAGTTATAACCAAGAAGACATGATTGGCCATATATGATTAAGTCGTCAAATAATCCCTTTCCCCCAGGAGATATATCCATATATTATTCTATAGTAGTTCAAGTCGTAGCATTTCTAATCCCAAGATATTAAAAATGCAGTTACACCATCTATTTCAACTTACCTGATGCCAGGATATACTATCTCTTACAACCTCAGATTTCTTATTTGCCAGTTTTAACATTGTTATTCAAAAATATTCAACGCAAAGTCATGAACACTAGTTTACAAGCCCTATTGTAACACAAAAGTCAGAGCTTCCAAAAATATCAATTTTTGATTTCATCTACATGGAAACCTCTCATCCGTTCTACACTGACCCCGATAACAAATGTACTAATCCATCATTCCTAATTCACTGCATTGACATCTTGTATCAACGAAAACAATTTGTTTGAATACGTTGTGATTATTATATCCAAACTATTCAATCCTGAATGCTTTTGTTTGGAACCAAAACTATGAGCGGTTGACAGAGTTGGGAAGATAAAGAAAGAATGTTATTATCTAAAAGCCTTAGAAATGTAATTTATATAGTGGTATCCTATATCTGGAAAAATTAAAAAATAATCATCAAAAAAAAAAATTTACTCTGGCTAAATCATATTTCGAAAAGTAAAACTGCAGCATAAATTATTAGGGATGGGACAAGTCCGGCATTACAAAGATTCGACGAATCCGAGTAATAGGTCAAGGACTCGAATCGAATCTGCCGAGTCCGTGACGTCATAATGGAAAAGCACAAAACGTGTTTTGACCATGCTACAGCATCGTGCGCTCACAAACATACATCGTAGCTCATATTTTTTTCCTAATGGTTCCGCAGATAGCTGTTGAGTCATTTCATATATATATTTTTTCTCTTTTTTGGCGGCCATAATACAAACGTAAACGTGGTCAATGTGCGCCTTGGCTGTAAACTGGATTTCCAGCCCACTTTGCGTCAATTCTGGGCGGCTATTCAGAAATTCTTACATGTCAACATGAACAATAAAAAGCTTTCGACTACAATGCTTTCCCATAATTCCAAATATTTCTAGCCGTAAATTTACTATGTCACGCGCGCATATGGTAGAGAAATGACACTCGTCGTCAATACAATGTAGTACATCTACTTGCAATTTAGTAGTTCATGTAAACGTTCTAAAACTATCCATCCTTTCCATCCTTTCTAAAACTATCCATTGCGAAAGGATTCCACGCAATAAACTCGATTTAAAAGAGGTATTGATGAGATTCCCCATTGGGTTGATCCAGAACATGTTTCATTTTTATGCAAATCAAAAAACTCAAAAATATTTGCAATAACACATATTTTATTGTGTACCACATGTATACCAAAAAGAATAGATAGTTTGAAGGCGACTGGCGCAACATCATTGTTATGAGCGATCAATAGTTTTTAACTATCTTATATTATCTGGATATCTGTCGTCGTTTTATTAGGAGTGTTTATATTGCACACGAAGGATATTGTTACAGAATCTAACCTTGAATTTTACTAGTTAAGGTATGTAGTGGGATTTATAGAGGCAAAAGTACAAACATAGGCGTAAATTAGTAAAAACAGAATTGATTATGGACTCGGTAAAAATGACGTGGACTCGAAATCGAATCCGAGTCCAAAAAATGCCTGGATTCGACTCGAATCCGAGTCCGGATCCGAATCCCGGCCCATCCCTATAAATTATGCAATCATTTATTAATACACTGTTAAGAACACATAGTAAACTTAACGCTTTTTATAGTATTAGGAAATTTTTTTACCCTTTCCATCAGCAATAAAAGATCGCACTCCAGGCAATTCAGAATTTCTACCCATGAAAATCTTAGTGTGACCTCTAACTCTACAGTCATTAATAAAACACCTGTTCTGCACTTTAAATATAAGATGCAATACATTCAACCGGTCCGAAATGAAGGCTAAACACAAGGAACAGGCTTGCCTTCGTGTCTCTGATTATTCTGCACAGTTCAAATTCCCCAGGAGCTACGGTAAGTATTTTTGCAAGATTGTTGCAATATTTTTGCAAGATTGCTGAACTCATTGCTATAATATGGTGGTTCACAATCAAGCGTCTGAAACTTGTTAACTAATCCCATACCTGACATGGAGAGGTAACCAGACACACAAATAAGAATACCCCCCCCCCTCCAATCTTATCCACATACAAGTTATAATTATCATACCTGCAACAAATGCATCGGTACGGCTGTTAAACAATCACAATCAAGGATTTGGAAAAACAACTCAGACAAGGACTAGTAACTGGACATATTAATAAGAAATTATTTCCTATATCCCATCCACTCCAAAGTAATTTATTTATACCTGCAACAAAGGCAGTGGTTTTCCAGGGTTTTCTTCCACAAATTCATCGATAGTTTTCGGTAGAAGTTGAACCGGTCGAATTCTCATCCTTGCGCAAGCTTCCAGAGATCGTGGACTTGTAAGAACATACCTAGAGATAAATTAATAATATTATTTTTGAGCTGTTTATCACTTCTTTAGGCTGAACAAGGTTTTGTACAAGAATCTGCTACTAGGTAAGAAACTACTATTCATCAAAGGACAGGGCTCTCTATGGTTTGGCATTGTCTATTTTTGACACTCCCGATAGAATAATGGTAGGGGAGTTTAGAAAAATAGAACAAACATGCTAGCTTAAAGATAGGATTTACAAATATCCCAGAGGAGAGCATGGACATGATAGTGGCGAAGTTGCAACCGACCAGCTGTTACGTAAACCACCCTACAGCAGAGAGAAGTCCTGCAATCCTCTTGTACATAGCTATCCCCAGATTCGAACCCATGCAGGGTAATCAGAGCAGGTGCGGTGGCAAGCAGAATCCTAATGCTCGGCACAAAACACCACACGCCCACACCACTGAGCCACTTTCTAGTGACTTCTTCTATCTTTCAGTATGGAAAACTTTAAATTTATTTGTTAAAACTAAGCCCTGTTCAAGCAGGCCCTGATATATACCAATATCATGACTGAAATCTTCCCCGTTCTCGATTTATTGCGCCCTGAATGTGAGGCTGCGGCCTGGAGGCGTGGGATTCGGACCAGAGCTGTTTAATCCGTCATGACAACGCGGTTATGTTCAATAACGCTTTAAACGCTAGGCCACCACAAGCGCCCAAAGTTTTCATATATATTTATTACCTCGATCCCTCAGCCTCTTGTGAATCAAAATTATCAAGATCAAGAACCAAATCCATTTTCATTCTGATGTCTTCGAAGAAACACTGAAGTTAAATATCGTTCCGACGCAACATGGTAATCATTTAGACAAGATTACTTTAAACTGTGAAACAATAAAATAGAAATTAGTTTTTATTTATAGAATTCAAGATTCTTGCTGCACACTAAAACAAATATAATATATTTCTCCCACAGAAAACTCTTGAATCATTCAGAATAGTCATGTTTATTCTTGATAGAATATCCTTGCATTTTACGTATCCATCGGCACAAAAAAATTGAAGAGGGATAACTAGTCGGTGCCGCAGGAAGAATTTCTCTTTCAGAACATATTCAATGTTTCATTTTCGAAACGATGATTTTAGGATTTATTCAGAACACTACATTATTCGGTTTTAGCCATCCCTGCTGAACAATATTAGTGCAACTATACTGAATACAAAGTAATATTTCTGTAATTTCCACTCAAAAATAACAAAATTTTTCCCTGATTGGGAAACAATTGGCGCGGCGGTGTGGCTCAACGGGCTAAGCGTTAGAAATACGCTCGCCACCGCACCTCTAATTACTCTGCGTGGGTTCGCAGGTTCGAATCCCACGCAGGGATTGTTATGTGCGAGAGGATTGCTGGACTCCTCGCCGTCGTTGGGTGGTTCACGTAACCGCTGGACGGTTACGGCTTTCTCCACCACCAAGTCCATGCTTCCGAAAACAAACAATACAGTAAAATTAATCCCATACCCGACTTGGAATGGTAACCGGACGAGAGGCCGTGGTTCGCCATATGGATAAGCCGTCTTATCGGATTTCCTCTCCCCCGGGATAAATATGTAAATCCTATCCTATCCTAACACTGGCATGATACACAGGCACGAAAATTTGGTGCTCCAGAAGTGTATGTACCAATATGGAGATAACTAATTTTGTTTGCCTACTTTACATCAAGATGTGTAAATGGACTGAAACCTATGGGCAGGAGGTATATTCACTTTGCTAACACAGACAGTCCCCCGAACTCGTATTAGAACTAAAATAAGGAAATCGGAATGAAAGTATGACCTAACCTGGTACATATACTACGGGAGTACCGAAATTTCGACATAAATAAAATTTTTCACACATCGAAAACAATGGCCTCCATCTTCAATTCTCAAACAAAACAATCTGTCTTATCTCTAACAATGCCATAACTAAACAAAACAATCCAGAATTCTTCTTACGATTTATTACAAAAAATAAAAAGCAATTCAAGGGCCTTGCTATGTCGCATTGAAAAACTAATATAATATTAAATTGAACAAACAAGGCACAAATATAAGGTCAAAATATCATACTCAATTATGTATGGCCATGCTTTATAGGTTCTTCTTGTTCACACACCTCTCGAGATAAAACTCAAGTGTCTAACAACAATATGAAAAGTATCTTTTGACGTAGGGAATTTTTCTCAAGTACCACTGCGTCACAATTATTTATTTCGTATTGTTTTATAAGGGTTCAATAACAATATAAAGAGTGCATAAAATCGGTAGTATGCACTGGGTTCAAAAAAGGGACGTGGGAATTGGATCTTACTTTTATGGGTGATATGGCTTAGTTCAGTGATTCACAATACTTTTAAATACAATCCTTTACTTATTTCAAAATTCTTCATTTTGCCTCTAGAATGAAAGCTCAGACCTATTTTGTGACATTACTATACCCACGGAGGCGCTTGAGATTAGGATCCAACAAAGACATGTGGAAAAGCCGACAATACAATAGTGTCGCCAAAAGCTCCTGGGAACTCCAATGATGCATTTAATAAAGGCTCGAGACACGCAGCACAGTTGTTAAAAAATGATTCCGAATATTACTTATCGATCATGATCGGTAAGTACGTTGATAGGTATGTGCTTGTTTGTTAGACACTTTCGTATCGCGATATCTCACGAAATCTTCAATCTGCTCCAACTTGTGCATGTGCATTCATCATATCTCGGATCGGAAGCCTATCGATTTTGGATGAATTATGTTGTATAATTAGCGAGTTATTAATTAATTAGTGATGGGACACGCGGTGTCACTATTGATTCAAATGGAAGGATACACGCCGCTAGATCAATAAGTCAGCGGTCTCTGATAGCTATCTCGTTGTAAATGGGTGTCACTACTCAATAACCAGTATTGGTTTTCCACCCCTCTCTTCACCCTGAAATGAATTTAATACTTCCTTACCTTTTAAATTGTAACATCCGACCCCTTAGTTTGGCAACCTCTTTTTAAGTTTTAAACTCGGCTTATATGCGGGTGTATGAGGTAATAATTAAGTCAAGACACAATGGCAGTTAGTTAATATCAAGTCCCAGTTATTCCATAGGGGGGACTTCTGCACCTGATTGTCCCTCGATATTGGTAAAAATACAGTATGATGAAGTTGCGCAAAAAACTACAAAGAAAGGCAATCTAAAAACGTCATTATTGAATTCCCCTGGAAAAAATAATCCGATTTACTGAAGAAAAAAATTTTCTACGGTGGCATTTGAGAGTTTTTAGCAAAAAACGGCAAGTTTGGTCACATGACGCACGCGATTAATTCAGATTGTTGGTGAGACAAGCATGGCGCGATATAACGCATCCGTCGTCGTGCCAGACACCCCCCATTTGGGAGACACATGGAGTGTATGTTTTATTAAACCAACCACTCCTTGTTTTATTGGGACATTTTGGAATTTGGATAGTGTGCTGTACTGACTTGGCTAGTTCCTGAACATGTAATAGAACTAAAATAAGGAAAAAGGCAATAAAATTATGGCCTAACCCTAACTTATGTTAGAACAAAATTATTGATTAAATTTGTAAGACCCATCGTCACCGGAATAGAACCAAGATTCAATCTTAAAAAAAATTTTGGCCATGTCAAGTTCTAAAGTAGTAAGACATGATAAAAAAAGTTCGAAGAACGCTGGAGGAATTCTGCGGTAGGGTGGTTACCTCACAACGAGATATGTATGAAAATCTTATACTAACCCATATCAACAACTATATCTCTGTATCCCACAGAGTCTGCTACTACCTGTTCCTACTATGCCAATACTTATAAGTAACTGCCTAAATATTGCCAATGAAGAACGTAATTTGGTAGTGAAAATAAATTTTTTTCAGAATAATACAGGATTAGGATTTACATATTTATCCCGGGGGAGAGGTAAGCCGACAAGACGGCTTAATCATATGGCGAACCACGGCCTCTCTTCCAGTTACCAGTCCAGGTCGGAGTATGAGATTAGTTAGCCAGGTATTTGATTTCGGAAGCATGGACTTGATGGTGGAGGAATGAGAAGCCGTAACCGACCTGCGGTTACGTGAACCACCCTACGGCGGCGAGGAGTCCAGCAATCCTCTGGCACATGATCATCCCCGCATGGGATTCGAACCTGCGATCCCACGAAGGGTAATCAGAGATGCGGTGGCGAGCGTATTCCTAATGCTTAGCACGATGCGCCACACCGCCAAGCCAGTAATAATCTCTCTCAGAATCTTTCTCGTGCGGAACGTCGTAGCCTATTCCAGTATTCAGCATACCTGCTTATTTGGAAATTAAGTGCTGGAGTGAGTTCAATTTGAACTAAATGCGTCTGTAAAGAATTACCTTCTGCGGCAAACAGACGTTTTTGGAAAACATAAAAATTCAATGCTGAGAAACACAAAACACTATATTGTTTAGACTTTAATTGTTAAACATATAGAAGAGATCTCATCAATGACCCTTGTTTTCAGTCACCCGCTTGTATTTAATCAAGAATTTGCCGATTTTTCCGATTATTCAACATGAAAAGATGCGCAGCTCACATAGTTTAACACTGATTATTTAAATATGCATGCAACTTCTCTCCTTATTATCTTATAGTTGAACTACCTTGGTGACCAAGTTGGTCAGATGAAACCGTCATCATTGAATTCCTTTGGAAAAAAGAATCCGATTTACTGAAGAAAAAAATTTTCTACTGTGGCATTTGAGAGTTTTTAGCAAAAACGGCAAGTTTGGTCACATGACGCACGCGATTAATTTAGATTTTTATTGAGACAAGCATGGCGCGATATGACGTATCTGTCGTCGTGCCAGACACCCCTCGTTTGAGAGACACATGGAGTGTATGTTTTATTAAACCAACCACTCCTTGTTTTATTGGGACATTCTTGGAATTTAGATAGTGTGCTGTACTGACTTGGCTAGTCCCTGAACATGTAATAGAACTAAAATAAGGAAAATCGCAATAAAATTATGGCCTAACCCTAACTTATGATAGAACAAAATTATTGATCAAATTTGTAAGACCCATCGTCACCGGAATAGAACCAATATTCAATCTTAAAAAAAAGTCAAGTCAAGTTCTAAAGTAGTAAGACATGATAAAAAAAGTTAGAAGAACGCTGGAGGAATTCTGCGGTAGGGTGGTTACCTCACAACGAGATATGTATGAAAATCTTATACTAACCCATACTGCCATATCAACAACTACCGGTATATCTCTGTATCCCACACAGTCTGCTACTACCTGTTCGGCTGTTCCTACTATGCCAATACTTATAAGTAACTGCTTAAATATTGCCAATGAAGAACGTAATTTGGTAGTGAAAATGAATTTTTTTCAGAATAATACAGGATTCAACATGAAAACGTGCCCAGCTCACATAGTTTAACACTGATTATTTAAATATGCATGCAACTTCTCTCCTTATTATCTTATAGTTGAACTACCTTGGTGACCAAGTTGGTCAGATGAAACCGTTTACTTCATTATACCCAATAATCTGCTAAATTCTCACTACAATACTGGACATAACGACAGTAAAAACACAAGATCTACCGTACAGATCTATCTGCTTATCTGTGTACGAATATTTGTATTTCTGTATTTGGTCACAGCCACAAAGATACGGGTACGATAGTTTAGAATAATTCGATATCTCAACACTCCCAGACATGAGCTACGAAGATAATTCAAGACGGATCGAATCATTTTATTTAGCTGAATGTGACATAAATCAGCAAAACAAAACAAATCGTAAGAACAACAAAAACAAAACACAACAATAACGATGGACCCCACGCTACG